CAGTGTAATAACCCAGGTTTTGTTGATCAAAAAATAGATCGGGATTTGAGGATGTGGGATATAGGGGTTTGAATATTGGGAAGTTGGACTGTGAATTGATTACTCTGGAATGGTACGTGGGCGATTTAAGGATGATTAGGATGTTTGATAGGTGTAGAAAGATGACTGGTGAAGAGGGAATGAGTTAGGAAACACAACTGGCAAACTAGGGTTTGGGTGTATCCGAGAGTTAAGGGTACAGTTCCGCAATTCAAAAATGAAATTGGGGGTAATTTAGAACCATAAAAATTAAATGGATAATTTTCTTGGGTAGGTTTTAATGTATATTTAATTTTAAAAAAATAAAAAAAATTAATTTTTGAATTTTAAAAAATTATCAAACTGCCCTTACATGGCAGCCATGTCCAAGCTGTTGTCTAGCAGCAGTAGAGCTCTCCCCAGCCTTCTCTAAGCTTCCTAAGTGTTTGAGGAGGTTCTCAAGGCCTCAACTGGGTCTCTGGATGTAAAACCCAAGCATGCATGTGTACGAAAAAAAATATAGAAAAATATATTTTATAGTGCATGTTTTAATAGGTATATAATTATTAAAAAAAATATAGAATTAAATTAAATAAAAAAAAATCGAAATTGAGTTATTGTCATTGCATGGCATTTTTTTCGAAGCTGCTGCCTAGCAGAAGAAGAGCTCTCCCCAGCCTTCTCCAACCTTCCAGAGTGATTGAGGAGAGGTGCTCAAGACTTCAGCAGGTCTCTTGATAAGGTAGAACCACCAAGAGATGAGAGAGGAAGAAGAGAGAAACTAGAGAGAGAAAATCAAATTTTCAAATTTTAAATTTATGGAATAAGCTACTTCGAATGATTAGAGGTATGCTACTAGGCTAATTTGAGGGCTATGAATCTCCTGGTATCATTAGAATTTCATATCATGTACTACAATTGCTCGAATTCATGTTTTAAATTTTTGAGTTCAAGGTTTTTATGAAATAGGTTTTGAGTTTGAGGTCATTTTGATTAAATTGGTTGGCATGGCTGTGTTGTGGGGAGGTAAAGAAGTACTTTGGTGGTGATTTCAAAGCCTGCCATGGTCGGAGGTGGTGGGGTGGTGGTGATGAAGTTTCAGCCATGTGGGTTTTTGATCTTTTGGTTTGGGGGGTTAAGCTTCTAAGGGAAGGTTGTTCCTAGATAAAATGGACCTTATGAATCTATTGGTGACCTTAGAAATGGATTTTGAAGTTTTTAAAATGGTTAAAATGCAAGTTGCAGGTCAGGCCATAAACTAAAAATCTTATTTTTGGTTTACTTTAACCAGTTTTTTAATGGGTTTAAGCATAATTCGAAGCTAGCGTCTGGAATCCCCATTCTCACACAATGTCACACACTATCTATTACCATCAAAGTTCAAGTTGCCACTGATAGACAGCTTCGATGGAAAGAAGAATCATTTGGATCATTTGAAAACTTATAAATCTTTGATGTTACTCCACAATGTTCCCAATTAGGTTATGTGTCGAGTATTCCCTACCACCTTCAAGGAAACAACTAGTCTCTGTTGAACCCCCTCAAGGTTTATTGAATATTTTCTAGATCTTAACAAATCCTTTCTTTTTCATTTTATTGGAGGAAGAACGCATAGGAAGCTTGCCACCTATCTTTTGAATCTCAAGCAGACAAATAGAGAATCACTTCGACAATTTGTGGCAAGGTCATAGAAGAGTAGCTGCAGATAAATAGTGTAAACGACAAGGTAACCCTGAGTGCCTTCATAAAAGAACTTCAGCCCTCCAAGTTTTTACTTTTACTTTCCAAGGCTCCACCTACAAATATGGCAAAGCTCTTTCTCAAAACTCAGAGCCATATGAATGCGAAAGATGCCTTGAATGCCAAAAAAAAGGGTAGAGGACTGCTCTTCCAAAAAAAAAACGAAAAGATCAAGAGAAGTCTGACAAGGCTAACTCTTATACGAAAAGAAAGACAGATTGCGTGCCGACAAAAGAGGTTAAAACATCGCTTTCCACCAAACTAAAAACACACAACTTTTGTATTTTTTAATTTTTAATTTTTTATTTTTGTTGTTGCTGTATCAATGTGTGCCACACGGAGCTTATGAGTAGGGGGAGGGTGCACAACAGTATGCAAAAATCAAGTTCAACCATTTTGTATTATGGGCCTATTAACAATCATCCGAAACTTAAAAGTCTTGGAAGCCCTCTAGTATTTGGACTGAACCCTGAAAACTCGACACTAACCACAAATCTTTGTCCTTTCCACCATCGCAGACCGGGTGATAATTCTCGACACAATCAGCAAGCAAAGCACAACTTAAACCTAGTGGGTAAATATTTACTATTACTAGACAAAAGCATGGTTAATAAACAGATCATGTTAATGTCAAACCCATTTAACTTGATTTTGATCTGTTTAGTTGAACTTGTCAATCCCCACTAATCGATCCTGTTTGACAAACCCACAGTCTTCTTTATCCATGTCGCCTAAAATCTTAGTAGTCGTGAAAGCAAGCACAAGAAAAAATATGATTTGAATGAATCATTGTCAAAAGAGAGGATTTTTAATTGAACTTTGCAAGGATCTAGATCGATTGGGATTTTAATTTCTTAGGACTATGAATTGATAGATGTAATTGCGAGATAAAGCCATTCTAGAGTTTCTAATTACAAATCATGTGTATCAATCTTAGTCAAATAATCTTTCTAAACTCTTAACACTCTCGCACTCAGCACACAAATTCGCACTCTGGGAGCGAATTTTCAGAGAGTTCATACTCTCATTTTACAAAATTCGCAAATTCAATATTTTAATTTGTGAATTTGACTAATTTGTACTCTCACTTACTTAAATGCTTACTTATTATTACTCAAATTTGTATTCCACTGACACAAGCATAATATTTCTAAACTATAATTATCATTTTAAGACTTTATAATCAATATATATTTAAAAATTAAATAATTTGTCTCATAATTGTCCATTAATTTTAATTTTTAATTTTATTTATATTAAACTTCATGAGTGAATATATGTCAGTATGTATATAACATAATACTCTCAAGAGACTCGCACTCTAATTTTTTTTGAATGTTGATGATTTTGTACTTCCACTCCTGTCCCGCTCTCGTTCTATGTGATCTAGGTACCAACCCGAAAAGATATGATTCACAAATAGGTAGACAATGTCAAAGTCATCTACTACCACAATTTCAGTAAATAGAACAAATTAAAATTGACTAATACTCTACAAGAAATCAAAATAACACGATCCAAACAAAACATGATATTATGTCAATCGATTACCATCGTACCCCCATAATGACAAGGTAGTGTTTGACACTCATTCGATTACGTTATTGTTACCAAACCAAACCAACACATTGCGAATACACATTAAGACTAATCTCTTCAATGATAAATGGAGAAATAAAGAAAGGAAAAACCATAGCAGCTGGGACGGTTTCATCTTAAGCTCTGATGGAGGCAACAATTAAAATGACCATAGCAGTCACAATGGTATCCATGTCGTGGTTTTCTAATGATGGGTATAGATAAAATTATACGGTCGTTGGTCATGTTCAGGGTGCAGGGTACGTACTTATACGGTATCATACCAAAAAATCATAAAGCTTACAGCCATCCAAGAGGGTAAGACAATGGTAGGATAGAAGGTACCAATAGGCCTGGCAATCGTATCGAGTGGAACGGTTTTATGTCGGGTGAAACGAGTTTGTGTCAAAAAACTCTTCATCCATATCTCATTCGTTTATATAAACAAGTTCAACTATCATACCTATACACAAATCATTTATTAGATGAATTACTCGATATAACCCATGTCACCCGCTAAATAAGAGAATAAGTTGAAATATTTCGAGTACACACAAAAAATCATCGACTTGCTACACAATTCATATGTTTAACTTGTTTATTATAACAATAAATCATGGTTGAGTTAAAAAATAAAGACAAAAAATAAATATTAAATAACTACTAAATTTGAATGATTCTAAATGATGAGAGGTGTGAGATGAGATAGAAGTTGAGATACCTAACTTTTTTTTAAAAAAAATTATAATACAACTATTAATGGGTTAAACGGATTAAAACGAATTTATAGATTAAACACGAAACTAATTCATTTATTTCACGGATCCACCGAGTTAACCCATTAACCACCCGAACCCGTTAAAACTACACCCAAACTTGCTAAATCCGTGTCTAATTTGTGTTGATTTCACGAATCGTATTTAGAATTATCACACCTAGGTACCATACTAAAAATTATAACTTTTTGAGTCAATTTACCACTAAATAAAGTTGAGACATTAAAATGTTAAAATCAACCCTAAAATATCTTGATTGAATCCAATCAACCCCATTTTGATAGAACCTCGCTAGATTTACATGTAACCTCGGCCTTTATTTATAACTTGAGTACGGTACCAAAAAAAAAATTCATATCATAGTCTCGCCCTAACAAAGAATATGAAAAAAAAAGCAGTGAAATGCTGTAAATGAGATGCCTACTGTCTCCCCCTATGATGAACCAGTACCAAGCAGGATATAGTACTTGAGAGACACAGCCCTTCTTCCCTCATTAATTAGATTCCCACATTATTGGAAATGATAATCTCAGTTGGGATTCTTTCCGGAATAAATCTGAATTCTAAAACCCAGAACCAGAACGAGATATGCACACAAAGAAGTTCCATACTTGCACCAGCAAATCCCAAAGGGCCCAGTAGTGCAAGCTACTGTTGTGGGCCTTCAGAGGCACTGTGCGTAGATAAATGTCGTTTGAAGCCTTTGGGCAAGTATAAAAACTCAAGAAATATTAGGCATAGCCATTGTCAACAACCTAAACAGCAGTTTCAATAATAAAAATCTGGTGCAGCACAATCGAAGGCATTGCCATTACCATCCTCATTTAGAGTCTACAAATGCCACAACAAAAAGTGTTTGGCTGGATTAGAGGAGGTTAAAGATCAAGCTTACAGCCTTCTTCCTCTTCTGCCACCCTTTCTACGAGTACTATCAGTTGGAATTGGAGTCACATCCTCTGAAACATATCAAAAGATGATAACTCAATAATTTTATCTGACAGGTTCTCGAAGCAAGATCATAATAAGCTAAAATACAAGCATCTCAAGCAAAATCATGAAAATGAAATGCATTCCTAAGATTCATTTCCTCAAAACTTTCTCCAGTGCTCTCACCACGTAAGCCCATTTTAGAGTACTACTCAACAATATTAAGGTGGAGTTTGTGGTATAAAAGTGTGTTATGGTGCAGTATTTTAGAAAAATGGTAGATATTATCTTCAGTGGCAAAGGTTAAAACTGGAAAAAGTAATATTCAGCCAGAGAAATGATTTAACAGCAACTCTTTGGGTGGTTTCAGATGAGTTTAGAGACATTTCTTTGTTAATTCTACAACATAATTGAAAAGCAGCATGTAGCTATAATATTTATTTTAATTTATCCTTGTATCTTTTTGCTTTTTGGGTGGATTTCTTATCAGCCATCTATTTACTTTTTATACTTTATATAAATGAAAATTTTCTTTTTAGAAAAAAAAAAATTATAACTGTACCAGTGTCCCCCAATACAATGTAATGTCATTTATTGTTCAACACTGGCTGATACTTCGCGATTCAAAAATATCAGTTAAAAAACTATACTAGAAGGATGACATTTTAGAAACAAAGAAAAACCACATCAAGACAATAAAACTGGCTAGCAACATAGAAACAAATTCAACTGCACATGACATCAATGTAGTAATTCATTTAATACGATTCACTATTTCAATCCCTTTTGTGTTTCACACAGGGTAAGATGCCTATTTACCACACGCAAAAAGCCTAAAATCAGAAATGGAACAATAGGAACAAATAATAACTAATCAAGCTAAAGGGGATTCTTGTTAGTTTGTTTCAAGATCCGGCGCTTCAAATTATTTTCCACTGCAAGTAACCCAATCCTAAACATGCAGCTTGATATTAAATATGATTGGCTAATCACAATCTTCAATGACATAACAAAACATTGTATAAATCAGTATCTGACCACTCTGGACAAACCCAAACCCCACCCCCACCCCCCCGCCACAAAAAAACCAAAACAAGGGAAAAGAATTACAGTTGAAGAAATGATAAACCAAACAACAAGTCTCAAGTTTTGACCAACATTTAAATCATATGCTCAAGGGAGACAATCTTAGGGCCCCAAAGATCAGTTAATCAAGCGAAAAAAAAAAAAAAAGCACGAACACTCTTAAGAAGGTGATATCCGTATCCGACACCAACACTTCTTGAACACTCTCGGTCACATATTCAATGTCTTTTACATGTGCCCAGCATTAAAATATAAAATTTTTGTTTCAAATTAGTAAAAATGTTACTTATAGAATTAAAGCAAGATGGACAAAATGGAGAAATGCATCTAATGTACTGTGTAATAAACGAATACCACTTAAGATGAACATCTGGTAAAATTAAAAAGGATAGAAGTCGAAATGAAAATATCCATAAAAAAGTAGAGATAGCACATATAAAAGACAAATTAAGAAAGAATGAATTAGGTGTTCTGGACATATTTATAGACAGCCTACTATGGCACCTCAAGAAAAAGTGATGTAATACCTACTGACGATAAGTGAATAGGCAGAGAAAGACTAAAATTGACTTTAAATAAAACAGTAAAAAATTATAACTTACGGTTTAACAAAAAATATGGCCCAAAATAGAGCACAATACCGAAACGAGATTCATGAAATCAACCCTAAAATTGTTGGAACAAGGGTTTATTGAATTGAGTTATGTTTTAGACACATGACCATCCTTCCTTTGGTGCCATGTCCCGCACATCTTTAATCATGTCTCTACTAAAATATAAACGTGTTGGCATGAAATTCAAAAAGCTTAAAAACTTAAGAAATGACTATCTACCACTATGGAAGAATCAATGATCATTAAAATTAGCCATGATGAGGTTATACTTAAAAAATTCACTAATAAAAGTAAAAGATGCATTAAAGTTTTGCTCAAGAGGAGGAACTCAAAAGATGAGTAACCATTATAACTTTGTGGTTCACTACCATGATCTTTTAGTTAAAAATTCACATTACTTGACTACATATATAATCAAGATGAATTATGTAATTTATTATGAAACAAAATTACTCATAATGTGTCTCTGATGTGTCCATATTCTACTTTTTTAAATGTGTCCATGGTATGAAGCACAGATATTTCGTTAAAACTGACGTATCTGCATCAGATATGATACTCGTCAGATACTCGAGGATATGTATCGAATACACATTAAATGTTAGATATTTCTATATGTAGCGATGTTTGTATAATTTTAGTTTTAATCTTTACTCCCTCATTCCGAATTCAAAAAAACAATCCACTATCAATAAAAATCCATGACTTTCAAGACAAATGGGTGTTTGTCAAGTATTATTCACTATCTCATATCCAAAGAGTATAAATGAGTCGATTACAACTATAATCTTAGCAAAATATATTTCTAAGCTAACAACCTAAGTAAATGTTGGTTCTTATTTACTTCATGGACATACCATAATGAGACGATAGGTATCTTTTTTAAAGTAAAAAATCGCTAATATTGTTTATTATTGTTTAAAAATAACTAAATATTATACCTATCAAGTCGTTACACAACAAAACGAATATAAAATATATTTTCTATACACGTATCCTGACCATATGTATATCTTATTTATTTGGATTTTGTTGTATAGTTGTATGTATCCGTATCGTACTCATATCCCTTAACCGTATCCATGCTTCTTAGCGTCCATGTCATATCATATTCGTATCCTTGTCTCTTAGAATTAAGCTTCTTTACAAGGTTATCTATCTTATACATTGTTTCTATTATTTCCCAAGATGGACCACAGTGTGTATTGCCATCCAATTTTCTCAATTTCTTTGTTATATATTATTGTCAAACTGCAGGCATGCACACAAAAGAGTATCACCACAAATTAAGAAGGAATTCTTTGTGAAAGAATAAAAGCGTTACCTATACGACCAATTTTCATTCCTGAACGGGCAAGGGCACGGAGTGCTGATTGAGCACCAGGGCCAGGAGTTTTTGTCTTGTTCCCACCTGTTGCACGGAGCTTAATATGAAGAGCACTGATGCCAAGTTCCTGTTTGGAAGAAGAAAATGTCATTCATATTGTGTGGCAGTCCAGTAAGATAGCAATATCACTAAATATTAAGCCTAATGTACAGGAAGAAAATCCAGTATTAAAATTTAGAGAAGAACATAGTGTAACAGAGGCAACTCTAGAAACCCCTGAATTTTTTTAATTTTTTTTTTTGGGGGGCGGGGTGGGGAGGGGGGACGAGAAATAAGACTTCTTTTTTATAGGAAGTTTGGAAGTAAAAAAATGGCATACAAGATGTTTAACCAAGAACAAGAAAAAACCATAGAAATATGATGTACTAGGCACCAGAAACCAGAACAAATAAATCACCTTTTAATGAGTATAACTGCTAGGGAAGCTAGAGCATGAAATTGAAAATCATGATTACAACCTTGCATCTTTGTGAAACATCTTGTGCAGCAAGCATGGCAGCATATGGGGATGACTCGTCCCTGTCTGCTTTCACTTTCATACCACCTGAAAAGGCAGGTTACAGGTACGTCAAGTGTAAATAAATAACAAAGGATGTTCAGAAACTGGAACTGTTAGGGTACTAAGGGACAATGCCAGTTCAACATGTGCTCATCAATCAGTTCAGATTAGCCCAAAATTTTATTCTTACAACTGACTATATTCTACAGACTCCAAACTGAAAATTCATTGGGATACACAACTGCAGAGATACTACAATTCTCCAAAGGACTACAAAAAATTTTAGCACTAGTACATATAATATTGTGTAAATAAAAATCTCACCAGTGATGCGAACCAAGGTTTCTCTTCCAGACAAATCAGTCACATGCTGCATTTCAACCAGATACGCCATAAATTATGGAGTTTCAACAAATCCTATGTGGAGAAAGAAAACAAAACTCATTTTCCACTTACAATGAATGTGTCATTAAATGATGCAAAAAAGTGGGCAACACCAAAGACATTCTCTCCATCCCTTACAGCAGGCCCAAGTGTCATTCTCTTCCTTTGGCTCCCTTGTCCTTTTCTTTGACTACAAAACCATCCATGCACAATTCAAACAAAACAAAACATGCCACATATCAATCTTATATTTTTTAGAAGGGCAAAATTTATCTTTCCTTCAAGTGCAGTAATAACTGTCATGTATCCAATACTGTGATATAGCATTACATTTCTCAAGGTACATTTATCTAGCAAGTATTGTTGATACTAAGATGGTCAACAAACCCACACATTCTTTCTAACTGAGAACTCCCAAACCCCATAAGCTAAGCAAATTCAGTTCATCCCCCTTGAAACCAGTGAACGAACAGCAACCAAATTATCAATTGTACTTATAGAATCATATCCACCTATCATGTCAGTCTTTGAGCAGCTTGTGCATTAGAGTGTAAACCCACACATGAAATAGCATTGAACAAACACAAATTTAAACAGACAAGACGATGACTAAACGTGAAACATTCAAAAGAAAATTCAGCAAATAAACGAACATCCTTAACAAAAATCCATTTTTTTTATTAAAAGGGTGTCTGGACCTCTTAAAGCATCCAACTTGCCCACCTCAACACTTTCATTTTCCCCAAGTCAGATCGAACCCATCGATCTATCTATGAAAAGCTAGTTTTATATAGATCTAACAATGAATTATGCATACCCATAAGCGCATAGTACAACACACACACACACCCCACATATATATATATATCTCAATCAGTAAATGTATGGCGTTGTGCTTACTGTTAGGGTTTGAAAAGCTTACCATTGCTTCCAACTGATGAGATTGTAGATGGCGAGAAGGGTAGAGAGGGAAAGCTTGCGGCAATTAACTGTGTAAAACCCTAGAGAGAGAGAGAGATGTATCAGTTGCGCAGCTGCACTTTATATGAAGAGAGTCGATATTTACAAAAGAGTCCTCTCATCTTCTCTTAATCTCAAAACTGTTTAAAAGCCATGGAATTATTTTCAAGTAAAATGCAAACATATCCCCGATGGTTTCCAATAATCAGCAAGTTTCCCCTTACTTTTCTGATCCCCCCATAATGCCCGCAAAAATAATAACATTGTCTCAATTATACACGTGGAAGTGGATACTAAATATTAGGACCGTCAATTTTCGACACAACACGAACTGAACACGAAATTAATGGATCGGATACGAAATTAAACGAGTTAATGGGTTAAAACTAGCCAACACGCTTAAACACGAAAAAAATAATATCAGGTTGATGTCAAAACTAGATCAACCTAATTTTTACTTGATTAACTCGTATATTTTAAACGGGTTGACATGTTTCGGATACGAATCGGACCCAACTCATTGTAAAACTATTTTAATGCAGTATAGTTTGTCTATTTTGTATGACTGATGTAGTTTTAATTTTATTACTTATTAGTTCTTACTTCTATTGTGGTAATTGACAATATAGTTCATAGCATTATTATGACAGTATACTAATATAGTTTTTACTTTAATTTTTGGGTCGAAACTTAAATGTATTTTAGTTAATTTAATTGATAAGATGTGATATGTTATTTGTAAAAAAATTATTTGAATTTTTTGATAAATAATTGAATGTTGTATTTAATAGCAATGAATAGGTGTGAAAACAAGTTATGTATATTAAACAGGTCTGTGTTATGTGTGCTAAATAGGTCAAAATAATATGTGTGCTAACCTAAAAACAACATGTTTATTAAATGTTTCAAACAGGTCAGGTTCAGGTAACCCGTTTTAATAGTCAGGTTAAATTAGTGTTTACACATTTCGATACAATTATTAAACATGTCATGTTCGAGTTTTGGAATTTTTAACACAAACTCTAAATTATCCCGACACAAAAGAACACAACTTAACACGTTTGACACTCCTACTGAATACTTACTCCCAAAATAATTGACAAAATCTCATTATCTCAATAAATGATAAGGTTACGATATCATGCCGAAATTTACATGCAATTATTGGATTTAGTTTAAATAATTCATAACAATATATTGAATAAATATTTAAGTTACAAATATTAAAACAAAAAAAACACAAGGGTCACAATTTTATTAGATGAATAATGGTTGCATAATATTAAAAATTTATTTTTGGATTCTATAATTGAACTGCTCAATAAAAGGTCGTTGGTTAATGAACATAGCAATAGATTTTTTTTTAACCCAAAGGTAATGTAGCAATAGACTTTAGACTGCATTTATGTGCATTTCTACCTCGCGTTGATTTGATGGAGTTCGACTTCCCACCAATTCTATAAGAATTAAAGGATTTTCTACGTATCAACAGATTCAATTGATTCAAAAAATTTCTTTAAAATTTTTAAATTCAAAACAACTAAAATTGCTAATGTGTTTGAATCTTAACCATTCAAATAAAACAAGTCAAGGGATGAAAGCGAAGAACACGGTTTTCAAGTTGAAAAAACCTAGGGTTCGTATGAAATTGGAGGAAAGTGTGTACCACTGGGGATGAGATGCATCTCCTTATATTTGTGTGTTTGTATCAGTTTATGCACTTACTCATCCGTTATTATTTTCCTTTTATTTGTTTAAATTTCCAGGTCCTTTCCATTATTTGTCACCACACTCAAAAACCGAAGACTACAAGCAATAATATAAATAAATGTATAATGGTTCAATACACAAGACTCTACTGCAAGATCAAAAAAAAATTAAATATACACAATCTTTATCTCTACAAACAAAAAAAGTGGTTTCTACGACTCAAACCATTAAAATCGGCCACATAAGGTCAGCAATATCACTAATGGTTGTGGTTTAACCCCCACACCACATACAAGAGGGACATAACCCCAAACAACCGAGCTGAACCCTTGCTTTCCCAATTCCATATGTCAATATGCCAGAAAACTAAATGTAGGAAAAGAACCAAACCAATTTTAGCCATGGCCTTTCATCCCACAACTTCAATGCAACACCACCCTCAAGTTTGAGAATTTGCCCTATCCAACTACTCCAATCAGTAGTAAAGAGATGCAAGAATTGAATATATGATTAAACACTGATGTCAGTTACATTTGGATTCACCATCTCACAAGCAAACTCAAAACTACTTTTTTTCCAGAAGGTAGCAAAACTTAAAACTTTTTTTTTTCCCAGAAAGGTAACTATTTCTTTTGCCAGTTGGAAGCACCACCACAACAGGTGGGATGATGCTGGTAAATGGATCATACAACCACTACACTTCCGTAGATCATCCACAATATTTATCTGATAGACAGAATCCAATCCAATTGATACCCAAACTGAAGAACACTCAGCTTTGATTTGAATCCAGAGGCCAGACACGTCCCATTGTAAATCCTCTGGTTCCATCAGGCATCCTTGGAGTTGGGGCAAGAGGTGGCTTTGAGACATCCATGTGGCGCCAAGAGGAAACAGTTTCAGGGACTAAAATTGTCAAAGTTAGAAAAAGAATGATTAGTTCATTCAGTGAAGCTAGAAGATCCTTAAGAAAGGAATCGAACCAAAAATAAATAAAGTAACTTGCTAGCATATTTTTTTCGTTAAAGCCACAGTGCTTGTCTCTCCTTCCTCGTCCTTGATTTCCACCCCTACGTCCATTTTTCTCTTTGGATGTATGCTGCCCATCCTGTGATTCAAAGGAAGCAACATAAATATATATATATACACTATTTTTTTAAAGAAAAATTAAATATTTAAATATATTTTAAATATTGTAAACAATTTTAATCAAATTAAATGCATTTTGTATTTTGGATCCAACGGAAATAACAGTCTATAGGATGGTGGAAACCCTCCAAATCCAAAAAACACTCCAAACTCGGATGAAGGCCAAGGTTCTATTTGATGTCTCAATACAAAAACCTAAATATTTTGCTGCCCCCTGACCAAAAATAAAAAGATATTTGGCTGCCCCTCCATCATGTGCCACTTGGTTGCCAATTGTACAGATGAAAAATGAAAATTACCAGCAAATAAGGTGTTGAAATGGCGGGAGTACGGTCAAAAGTGACAACAACTTCATCCTCTTTACTTCTATCAAACTCGTCAGACAAAGAGAGCTTCAAGGCTTCAACTAAAATGCTCATATCAAGCATCATCTCAGTCGTACAGATTTCATGATTCTACCATAGGCAAATTATTTTGGCAGACAACAATTTTCAACGATAATGCAGCCTTGTCAAAAGGGGCTGGTAGTATCAAAATGATCGCCATTCATCAGGTAATACAATTGCACAATTAATGGTAATGTTTAATCTTTCATATCTGTGAGATCCCCTTGAGGATTACTCCTCAAGGCCAATGTGAATCAAACTTAAACCTTCAACAAAAAAAGGATAAATATCAATGATGCCCGCTGTAGAAACAGAAAAAATATTCATTGCAACAGTAATACCACATTAGCATTACCATGTGGTGTCACCAACCAATAATATGTAGACAAAAAACGAAGTGAACCCCACACAAGTCAATAACTACCCATCTATGTAAACAAATTACTACTCACTCTTCTTCCCCATAAGCCAATAACTACCCAAGTAGAGTTCACTTTGTTCATTTGAGGTTTTATTATTGGTTGGTGATACCATGTCATCAATGTTGACATGGGATCACTGTTAAATTGAATATTTCCCCGTAAAAATATCTATCTATATAATAAGGGAGGGAAATTGTTTGTCATTAGCTTTTTGCGGTTAAGATCGCTTTAAGATTATTGATCCAACGACTGATACTGATACTTCTCTTCCAAATTTTTTTTCCTCCAAAAAATTACAAGAATCCTTTTATTTTTGGACTCGAAGACTTTATCTCATCCTTAGACTTTATCTCAACCTCATCTCTACGGTCCCACCCCATGCGTCTCTCCTCTCTCTCTACCAACTTTTTGCAGCAGTCTCAAAAAGCATACATCAGCCATACCCAACCATCAAGAGCTTTTGAGTGGTTTGCAATGTTTTAAAACCCGGCTTGGCTTGCCGGGTTAACCCGGTGCCTAAACCGGGCCAATTCACCTATTAGATCGTTTATGCACCAAAACCGGAGTAAACCTGGCAACCCGGGAAAAAACCGGTAAAAATCGTCAAACCAAACGAGTTACACAAACCGGCCAGGTTTATTTAATATAAAAATTGAATTTT